GAGGGAAAGGGAAGGAGGAAGTAGGCTTATGATCAAAGTTGTGCAGAATTCACCAGAAAGCTGCACAGGAGGGAGCTGTTTCTTCCCCTCCCTCTGCCCACACAGTCTCCTGAATCTTGTTGCCTACAAGTGTAGGCTGGTCCCATGCAGCCCACAAAGCAGTTTTGGTCCCATCCATACCGGCCCTTGCCAGGAGACCTGACATTCATCTGATAAATTAATTTGTACTAATGGCCTCCTAATGGTTACCAGCCATTCGCTGGGTTAGCCTCCTGGTGACATGCGTTGCCTTTCAGCCAAGCCTTATGGACATTCAAGACCTGGATCTAGGCTGGTGTGATTTTACCTTACCCCAGGTCAGAAAGGAGACAGGGTGGCAGGGAAGTAGGGAACAATATAAACAAGTTAGCCAGAAAGGTCCAGGCTGCAGGGACAAGTCAGGGCCCGGGAAGTCCCAGGTGTAGAGATTCTGTAGGTTTCCTTCCTGGATGAAGAATGGAGAACAATGCCAGGCATGTTGGGTTCTTTCTAAGGAAGAAGGAAAGATCTCCTGTCGGCTAGGAGTGAGCTCATGGCTTCTAGGATATCAGAGGAGAGGATGGATTTTCGGTTTCGACTTTGAATTGTTAAATGATGTCTTAGAATATTCATACAGGGGATACTGCTCAATACAAAGAGGAGTAAACAACATTAGTTTGCAGTGAGATAGATCTTGGGATGACAAGCTTAAAAGAAAAAGCTGAATTCCAGAGACTACACAAAATTCTGGAAAAGGCCACACTTATTGATACTACAGATGCCTGAGGCCAGAAGTGGAACTGATTCAAAGGGGAGTGAGGAAATGTTTCCAGAGGGTGGAAGCATTCTCCATCTGACAGAGAGGGGCAGACAAAGGACACATGCTTTTGTCAGAGTCCACTGACCTATACACATGGGGTGGTGCAATTTATTTTATGCATGTTATCCCTTAATAAAGTTGATTTTAAAGGGAAAAATATGATGTCTTACTCATCTAGGTCGTTCTGCTCCTGGAGTAAGCTGGGAAACCAGCCGAGCTGCACTGGGTCCTGGTCTCCATTATTCTCCTAGTAAAGCAGCGTTGCTCAGTATTCAACAAGTAATGGGACACTTTCTCATCTCCTGATCATGACAGTTACTCTATGAGGTGAGCATGATTCATCCCATTTTATAAGTAAGGAAACTGAGGCACAGGATGGCTAAGAGAACCAGCCTAAGTCTTCTGAGTCAGAATGCTGCTATCTTTCCCTTATTCAGGACCACCCCTGGTCTTAGAGATCACACGGATCTAGGGAAACTGAAGCCAGAGAGTACAAGTAACTTGAAGCAGTTGTGCTATTAGTCAAGATAGTCTAAAATCAAAGGTCTGCCTCCTCTCCCATGTGTAAGGAAGAAGTATTCAATTAGGATCCTCCTGAATGAAGACAGAAGGACATTCATTTCCCATAGTGAGACTTTCAGAACAGCAGAGAGGATCTATCTTAAAACACAAGCAAGCCTCCTTTCCAGGGATGCAGACTCCGCCCCTCAGAGCATGGTGCCGGCCCCCCACCCCCTGAGTCCCAAGGGTCTTCTAACTTTAACAAACTACAGCAACAAGCACATGCATTACCTCATCACCGTCTGGCTTATTTCCTAGAAGCGATTGTCCAAAGCTTGCTCCATTTCCCCCCTGCTGTTGGCTTTGCACCCTTGGCCCATTCCTCCTGCCTGAAATCACACAGCTCTGACCCCAGAGAGCCAGAAGGAGCCTCCTCCTCCTCCTTCTCAAAGTCCTTAAGTCAGGGAAGAGGCCCCTCTGTGGCCAGCAATGCACATCATGTGGCCATCCAAAGATAGTTTAAAAGCAGGTATGAGCGTGGGAGTGGAGGGAAGAGGGAGGGATGATATATGGTGGTCATGATGATGTGCACACAGGGAAAAGTCTCAGGAGGAACCACAAGAAATAGCAGATGGTGGCTGACAAGAGGGACAGACACCAGAGGGTGGGAGGAGGGAGAGTTCTACTTCCCATTTAGTTTCTTTCTGTTCAACGTGAATTTTCTAACCAATATACATGAATTGCACTTATTTATTTGTGCCAATAAGAATTGGCTAGCCCAAATTATGGGCCATATGCATCCTATACATAATCTGTATTTTTAAAAAGGAAGAAAATTGGAAACATTAATTCTTAAACATAAAATAAGCATCTATAATTTATCACCTCCCTTCCTTCACAGTGACCAAAACATGCATTAGTTTAAATGATCAAAACAACAACAACAACAAAGTCCCCTCAGTGGGATAGAGCCAGGAGGGGTGAAGGAATAAGGGTTCCCGGTGGTACAGCCCTCAATGGGTGCATTGTTCCCCCGTCTGCACCGCCAAGGGAGATCTCTCTGCCATTTTGATCTCTGGGTGCTTGGGTTATCTCCAGTCCCGAGCTCCTTCAAACCAATGCTTATTTAGGGCAGGATTGTCTTACTCTTCTTCGGCGCTTACAGAACCTAAAGCATATGTAGGTAAGACAGAGGTAGTCTCCAAGAGAGTGGGAGGGCCCAGGCTGACACCACTAGATAGGTAGGCAGTAGGTGCCTTCTGACCCCTGTACCCGGAACCTTCACCAACTCCCCACGTTTGCTGTGAGAGCTCATGGCAAGGTTCAAACTCCTTCTCATGTTTACAAAGACCGTCCTTGATCTGGCCCGCGCCTGCCTTTCTGCTCTGGCTCCCAAGACAATTTCTGTGCCCCAGCCGTCAAACAGGTCCATTCACCCCTCCTGAGCGCGCCTTGGGGTTCCTTGCCTTCAGGCCCTTTCTCTTGCTTTACCCAGACTCTGCCACAAGTGACACCAACTTCTTCCCGAGACAGCCCTAGTGCGCCCACTGTCTGGGCACGCTTCTTCCATCTGCCCCTCCACTGTGCTACGGGTTGTACCGGCTGCATTGTTTTGATCTAAGCCTCCCGCACCGGAGGATGAAGGCGTGTCTCTCACCCCTCCCTTTCCCGGTGTCTATTACAGGTCTAGGGTCTGCAGAAAAGTAGAGAAGGGAAAACGGGTGTAATTACAGCAGAAGTAGATTTAAATTCAAGGCCGGATCAAGACTGGGTCAGGGATAGAACTGGGAAAGGTTTAATTCCCGGTTCCAACCACTAGACGACGCCCGCAGCCTCATTCCGGTCAAGACGCCTCCAGGTTTTGAAGTTTATTACCTGTCTAACAAGTTTCCTTCCTGTCCTACTATCCCTTTAAGAAGGTGAACCAGGTGAGCCAGGGGCTCCGCCCCCGGCGCTATCCCCGCCCCCCGCCCCCGCCCGGCCCTCCCGGCTCACCGAGTCCCTCGCGACCTGGCCCAGCGGTGGGGGCCGAGGTCCCAGGTCCCGGCCCCGCGCCATGGAGCGGCGCTGGCCCCTGGGGCTCGGGCTACTGCTGCTGCTCTGCGCCCCGCTGCCCCCCGGGGCGCGCGCCGAGGAAGGTACCGACCCCCGCCCTCGCCGCCCCCACCCCTCCGCGGTCGGCCGGCCTCTCCTGCAGGAGCCGGCATTCCTGAGAGGCCCTCCTTCCTGCGCCCCCTCCCGCTCCCTTGTTTTGCCGGGTCCGCGGGGCAATCGACTGGCGACGCCAGTCTTTGGTCTTTAACCCCAAGCTCCAGCTGTCCCGCCTGTCCCGGGTCAATCACCCCGACTCCTGCTGGCCAGCAGTCTTTGCCTGGGGGTGGAGAGGGAATTCCTGACTATTGCCAGGAAGCTGCATCCTGACCCCATCCTTCATGGGACCCTTCATTCCCAAGCCAGGGGTCCCAACCTCAGGTGCCCAACCCAGAGATCGATGCCCACCGAAGTCCGAGATGGGAAGTTGCTTTTTGCCAGTCCAGGCCATGCAACAGAGGGACCTGCCATCCTGGGGAAGGGTTAGGCTCAGATAGAGAGATAGAGGCCAAATTTTGCACTTAAGGCATGCACACCCTTAATGAAGCTGCTCCCCACACTTCCCAAAATTGGAGCTGTGCTGGTACTCCCACCCACTACCCCCAGTTACAGGCCAATGCAGGCCTTTGACAGAAGTTTAGAATCAGGTTCCCTACCCAATAGTCCCTTTCCAGGGCCCACTAAGTATTCCCAAGGGCTTAGCACCGCCTGCCATCCACTCTGCAGCTCTGCAGCAGATGAGTGTCCAGCCACACCAGCCCCGGATGACTGAGCCCTTGCAATTCTCTGGAGCTGCTCTTCCTCTTGCTTCCTGTCTTGGCTTTGGTTAAAGCTTCACACTCCAACCCTTGCCTGGCTCTGCCTTGCTCCCTTCACATTCTGAAGGAAAACAATGGAACTCTTGGAGTTCTTCATTCCTCAGTCCTGGGCCCTTTTGCTCTCCTAAGCCTCAGGATGTGGCAGCTGTTTGGAAGAGGATGTTGGAGCTTGGGGCTGGAGCTCCAGAGGAGGAATGTGGGTTGCATATACCTCTGCCCCCCCAGATGACAGGCTCTTTTTTCCTCCACCTTCAGTCACTCTAATGGACACAAGCATGGCACAGGGAGAGTTGGGCTGGCTGCTGGATCCCCCAGAGGATGGGGTAAGTGTCGGGGAGGAAGGATCTGGGGTGCTTCAAGGCTGAAGGCCAATGGGAAATGGGGTGGAGAGGTGGGTGGAGGAACCAAAAAGAGCAGGAAAAACTGGAAGTGTCTCCTCCAGGAGGGGGAGGGGAGGCTGAGTCAGAGCCTCCTGAATGGGACATTGGGGGGGGAGGGTCAGTCTTCACCTCATGGGGAATGCCTCCTTGGTTGCTCCTCTCCCTTTCTGCTCCAGGGGCGAATTCTTGAGAGGACCAGAGTAGGAGATGAGCTCCCATTTCCAGGGAGACAATGAATGTCCAATGCTGGGCATGGCCAAGGGCTGAGACCACAGCCTTGCCCCGGGAGGGACAGAAACACCAGAAAGCATCCTCTACCCAGCTCTGCTCATTCCAGCAGAGTTGCATTGACAAAGCTTCAGGGAGTCAGGGACCATCCAAAAGTGTATTCTAAGTTACGTTTCTGGAGAGGAGAGCCAAAGCTTTCCTCAGATTCTTCAAGGGATCTTTGACTCCCTCGGATCTTCAAGCTGCTCCCCTCAAGGTCCCTGAGTCTTCGACTCTTCATACCCCGCAGGCAGGCTCCTCTACCCGAGGTATTACAGTCAGTGGAGGATGCAAGAGCCTGCACTAAGTCCATTCTTCCTTGTGTGTCCCTGTAACAGAGTGAGCAGAGGTCAGTTGTGGGTGGGTCCCAGAGAGCATATTAGGACATGAAGTCCAGAGAACACTCTTGCTGCTTCCCAACAGAGCTGGCCACAGCAGCACAGGAAGCTGCCTGAGCAGTTGGACACTCATGGGTCCTACACCCTGTTTCCTCAGTAGTGTCTTCCTTACTGTAGGACCTGAGATTTCAGTTCAGTCTGTTTTGGAGGTCAGGGTTACTTGCTTTTTTTCCTTCCTGGTATGAGGGTCCTGGTTCCATTTGCTGCTTTCCCAGAGTGGCCCATAATTAGAATTAATAAACTAAACCATAATGTAACCTCCAGGAGGGGCAGCGTGGGAAATCCTGGATTAAGCCAGCCCTAATAGGCGCCTTGTCTCATAAACCAGCTAATCACCTCACAATGATGGCTGCAGGTCTATCTGCTGGCTCCTGTGGGCCTTGGTGTGCCCCTGCCACCTCCACCCAAATAACTCTCCTCTAATTGGACTGGAATGGGAACAAGGCCCCTTTCTCAGCCTCACAGAGAAAACAGTATTGCATTAGGAGGGCAAGAAGACAACCAGCAGTCACATGCTTCCATTCTCCTCTGTCCCCCTCATCTTCCCAAAACACATGCACACACACTCAACATCAGGATCCCCAGAATGCACCCATGACCCAGCCAGCAGTGCCTGAGTGGTAAGTGAAAGGATCCTTGGTGCTGTTCCTGGCTGGCTGGTTCTCCCCCATCTGTCACTGCTGGAATAGGGAGAGGCAGATTGCAGCTGGGAACATCTGCTTCTCCAGGCTCCAGCTGCAGCCCTGGCAATCTGGCTAATGAGCTGCACATGAACCACCCACCAACCCGTCCACCTGCCCTGCCCAGTGCCCTTCACTAGGGCTCCCATCTGGGCTTCCTCAGTCACCCACGAGGTGCCTTTGCATTCCAGCCCCCTTCCTCTCAGACAACTCTTGCTAACTGTGCACTCTCTAACATAATGCAGAAAGATGTGCCTCACAGCAGCTTATAATTCTGCCCCACCCCTTTAACAATTCTTAATTCATGATGCTTTTTCTTGTCTTTTCCCAGAGCTGAGAGTAGGCACAAAAGCCCACGTACTGCAGTGGAGTAAAACCAGGGAAAGGGAACTTTCTTAGGGCCTCTGTTGCTTCTTTATCAAATTACAAGGTAGAATCCAAAATATCAATGGACTGCTTCTTTCTTAAGTTCATCTGGCACAGAAAATACTTAAGAATAACAGCATATTTTTTGAAGAAGAATAAAATGGGAAACTTGTCTTACCAGCAGATTTCAGAACAGCAACAATAATTAAAACAGATGGCTTGACAAAAATGCTCAGGCCAATGGAAAAGAATGGAAAGTCCAAAAACAAACACACATATCTTTTAATGTGGATGACATTGGAATTGGAAATCAATGTGGAAAGTATTGTAAGGGACAGGAAAACTTTCTACCCTCTAACATTTCTATAAGTGAGCTGTTGGAATAGATAGTAATGGGAGAAACCGTATTTTAACTAACCTTCATACACACAGGAAGTCCACAAAATATGAGACTGGAGAAAGGGTCAGATGACTGATGCATGCACACAATCCTGAGCTGAAGAAAGGAACTGGGGGTGAGAGGCAGCAACCTGCACTCAGATCACAAGCCGAGAGGGTGAACAAAGGCTGTCCTGCTGTGCAGGTACAGAGCCTTCTCCTGTATTAGAAGTTATCTCAAAGCAGTCCTCTTCCTGGTATAGATACCTTACTAATGTAGATTTCCTTCAGACATGTAAATTTTCCTTTTACTAGTTAATTCTGTATCTACAGTTTCTCAGAATATGCAAGAGAACTAAATTTTGGGGACGTATGTGTTGATTCCATAAGTATCGAAAGTATTGATGACTAATTATTAAATTGACCATTGGATGCCTGTAATTTCAAAGAAGAAAAGAAAAGTAGACACCTCTTCACTTAACACTATGTACACACACACACACACACACACACACACACACATAGATGCGCACATAAATTCTAGGGAGATTAAAATCTAAACCTAAAAATCAAACACACATAAAATTTAAGAGAAAAAGATAGAAGATTTTTATAATTTGGGGATGAGACTCTCAAGCAAAATACACAACACAAAAAAAATCATGATGTTATTATGTAAAAATTAAAAATATATAGCCACCTCAAAGATATCATTAACAAAGAAGTGGTATGGCAGAAAACATTTGAAACACACATAATCAAGCAAATGATTAATACTGATATTATGTTTAAAAAAACTCATCCAAATGAATAATCAAATGTTAATAATAGAACATCAGGCAAAGGTGCATTCCTGTAATTCCAGAGACTTGGGAAGCTGAGGCAGTAGGATCACAAATTCAAGGCCAGCCTCAGCAATTTAGCAAGACCCTGTCTCAAAATAAGGTATGAAAAGGTCTGGGAATGTAGCTCAGAGTGTCCCTGGGTTCAATCTCTAGTACCTTATCACACACACACACACACACAAAAAAAAAAAAAAAAAAAAAACAGGCAAGATTCTGAAAACATAATTACAAACCGGGCACACACTTGTAATCTCAGCAGCTTGGGAGGCTGAGGCAAGAGGATCTCAAAGCCAGCCTCAGCAACTTAGAGAGACCCTTAGCAACTCAGTGAGACCCTGTCTCTAAATAAACTACAAAATAGGGCTGAGGATGAGGCTCAGTGGTCAAGTGCCCCTGAGTTCGATCCCCATTACCCCCCTCAAAAAAAAACAACACATAATTGCACATAATACAAATAGCCAATAAACAGAAGAGAAACACACAGCCTCCTCTTCAATGAAATGTAAATTAAATTAGCAAGAAGTACCATCAAAAGCAAGGTGAAAAAGTTTTACTCAGAATTATTAGGCTAGGCCACCTCTGGGGATGAGGGTGGAAGGATAGGAGGACTTTCTTTATTTTGTGTATGTTTTTATTCCTTGGCGTTATATAATAAGCACATAGAGGCATGATAATTAGGAGAATAAACCCAGCCATCTGCAGTGGTGCAGGGCTGTAATCCCAGTGACTGAGGAGGCTGAGGCAGGAGGATGGCCAGCATGGGCAATGTAGTGAGACTTTGTCTCAAAAGAAAACTAAGGAAAAAACTAAGGGTGTAGCTCAGTGGTAATGAACTTCCCCAGGATACACAAGGTCCTGAGTTCAGCCTCTAGTACAGGAAAAATAAATTCTGGAGCTTGAAGTACCTGGCTTCATGTCCAAACTCGGCAAGTGAGCAAGACACTCAGCCATTGGGCCTTGGTGGGCCTTACATCCACATGGAAAGGGCTTCTTTCGTACTGGGCATTATTATTGCTAGGTGTAAAATGTCTTTTAAAGTAAAGGAAGTTAAGGGGGCAGACTAGAAGGTACCTTAGAGCACAGCCCACTTTCCCAATTGACTTTGATAATGGCTATAACTGGAAGGAATATTGGATAAGGTGAGATTCCCCTATTAGACCATTCTATACTTGTTTTTGTCCTCCAAGAACATAGGGGTTTTACTTCTTTGCAAAACAAGTCTCCTCTTTGAACAAATGAATAGAAAGGGTTTGTGAATAAGCTTTGCCTTTAGGGTACCTGATAGCTCTGCTGATCAAATAGGTAAAAGTTGGTGCTCACACTCCAGTAGTTTGAGTAGGCTAACTGAAGGGGCCAGAACTGGCCAGGAATTACTGTCCAAGTAATTCATAACTTTCAACATTAAGCCTACTCTGCTGTGGCCCAGCAGTCAGGTTAGGCAGGTTAAGAAGTATGACCCTAGGGACTCTGACACCAGCTTCCTCCTTGTCCACTCTGGTCCCTGACTCTGATTCTCTTCTCACAGTGGAGTGAGGTGCAACAGATGCTGAACGGGACACCCCTGTACATGTACCAGGACTGCCCACTGCAGGAGGGTGGAGACACTGAACACTGGCTTCGTTCCAACTGGATCTACCGAGGGGAGGAGGCTTCGCAGGTCCACGTAGAGCTGCAGTTCACCGTGCGTGACTGCAAGAGTTTCCCTGGAGGAGCTGGGCCTCTGGGCTGCAAGGAGACCTTCAACCTTCTATACATGGAGAGTGACCAGGACGTGGGCATCCAGCTCCGACGGCCCTTGTTCCAAAAGGTACTGCTTCTCCTCCATGCCATCTTGGTCTTGGCACTGATCCCTGCCTGGCTCCTTACCATGACCCTGCTCAGCTAAGAAGAAACAGAAGGTGACAGAGACAACAAGAGAGTGCAGGCATAGAATAATGAAAAGAATGTGGGACTACAAACCAGAAAGGCTAGATTTGAGGACCTCTTTGCTGTGCCTGTTAACCTCTCTGAGCTTTAATTTCCTCATCATAAAATAGTGATTATAATGGGGCCAGCCTTATCTATTTTAGAGTCTTTCAATTGCATCCAGTAAGAAAACAGGATGCCACGGTAGAAGAGGGAAATGTAGTCCTGAGGTTTTAGAAATTTCTATCTATCCTTGATGCTTGTCTTCCTAACACCCCAAAAAATATAGCTAGAATTTTGTAACAGGACATTTCCCTACCTGTGATCTCTCAATACTGTTCCTTTCTTTCCCACTCAGGAAGTATAGTGAATGTAAAAGAGTAAGGAGCATATTATTTTTTTTAATTAGTTGTTAATGGACCTTTACTTTATTTATTTGTATGTGTATGTGGTGCTGAGAATCAAACCCAGTGCCTCACGCATGCTAGGCAAGTGCTCTACCACTGAGCCACAACCCCTGCCCAAGGAGCATATATTATGGGATGTGCTCTCATTTCTTTCCAAAGAGCATGTTGTAAAATTTATTATTAGCAATAAATTAGTCCTGACACGCTCTATAACTGATCACCACATAGGTACCAGGATTGGGTGCCACCTCCCAGTGGTGGAAATTTTACGGACAGTACAGTCCTACTTGCTGGGTTCCAGTCCTAGCCCCATAATGTCATAGCTAGGTGATCTCATACAAGGTCTCTAA